CAGTGGTCTAGAATATTTCTGTTCATTCTGTATAGTAGTTACTTAATACTACAGCATGTAGACCCAGCTGCTCTGTGCTTTTTTTGGATGAAGAAGATGAGTCCTTATGGGAGCCCTTCCAGCACAAATTCTGGGAAAGCCCAGGGTGAACTGGCTCCATGATTGTGTTAGACTCTCTCAGAGGGTGGGAACCTCACCTGTTTATTTCTGAAAGCCTTGCCCAAAGGCCCTGAATTGGAATCCATTTGCCCCTTTCCCTTCTCATTCAGTCAAAATCAGTCCAGGTTTGTGAACAAGATAAGTCTTTGACTTATAAATGAATTTTGTCTTCCATTGCCCTGATCAAACACGTCTTAGGCAGAATAAATGCTTGTCAGTGGTAAATAACAATAATCATCACCTCTTTGGACCAAAGACCAATGAATATTAGCCAGTCTCTGGTAGCCTGATTATAGTTAATCAAACTTAAAATCAGAATAATATTTATTAAGTTCTTATAGGAAGACAGTATTATTGTAGTATTCACTTGACTCTCAGCATTGCTATAAGGATCAAATGACATAATATTTGCAAAGTTCTGTGCAAACCTTAAAGCACTACACAAATGCTAACTCTTGTATTCTCTGTTGTTTAGGGATTTCAGTTGTGTCCAATCCTTCCTGACCCCATTTCTTGGCAAAGATACCAGAGTGGTTTGTCATTTCCTTGTCCAGTTCATTTTTACAGATGAGGAATTGAAGCAAATAGGGTTAAATGACTTACCCAGAGTCACACAGCTAGGAAGTGTTTGAGGCTAGATTTGAACTCAGGAAGATGAGTCATCCTAATTCTAAGCCCAGTGCTCTCTCCACTGTATGTGCCACATAGCTGTATTTTCTACACAGGAGCCAAGCTAAAACAAGACTGTGGACATTAGGAGGTTACCATCTAACAAATGTAGACAACAGAGGTATGATCAGTAATATTACTTGTAGAAGAGAGTTCATTTTTACATTTTTCTTGTGTTTCTGATTTGTTTTCTGTGAATATATTTTATTTTTGGTTATCTTATAGTAGGTAGAAGTCAGGAAAGAGTAGGATACAAGATAAATAGTTCCAGTATACGCAAAGCCAATGGACTCAAAGTGAAGGCAAGATATTAGGCTATTTGATACTATTACACTCACTCCCCATACCACTTTCTATTCATTTTTTTTTTTATGTGTAAGTATATACTTACATACACACTCAATGTCCCTCTCTCCTCAACCTAAAATTTAAACTCCAAAAGGGCAGGGACTATTTCAATTCACTCACTTTTGTCTTATATCTCTAGAGTTTAGTGCTTTGCCTGGCTTATAGTAAGCCTTACTAAAAGCTTGTTGGTTAATTGGGGGAAATTTATCATTTCAAAGGACTCAAGTCTTTTGGGATTTGGTGGAAGACCTTTAATTAGGATATTGTAGCATATTTTCTCCTGGTAAAGTAGAAGACACAGTTGAAGATAAAAATGGCTGGACTTCCTGCTTCTCTCCCTGTTCCTCTCTTTTATGGTTAGTAAATTCTGTTGTCCACCATAAGCACTTTCTTCTACCACAAAAATGACATTAGAGGCAAAGCTATTTGGGAGTGGTAGGTAGGAAGAAAGGTGTGAATTAGTTTTGTTTTGGGTAAAAATCAAGGAAACTAGAGAAGGAAATCAAAGTTTCTAGTTAGTTCCCAAAATTAATTCCAGAAAAGTAGATTGGTTTCTCAAACCTGTATCTCTCTGGATTTAATGAAGATGACTAGCTTAGAGAGGATCTTCATTCACAATTTCTAATACACTTTGTTCTGTAACTTTCAACTATTAGCATTTAATTGTGTGTTATAACTTTGTATGTGGGTGTCTTATTCCCCTCCTAGACTATAATCTTTCTGAAGGCAGGCACTGGTTTTGCCTGAACACTATGTCCCCCAAGACATAGTACAGTTCTCTCTACACTATAGGTCCTTCATAAGACTTTATGGCATTTATTTCATCAAGTATAAATTCTTTTCCCTGGCATTTTGAGGTGCCTTACTCTATCAATCCAACTTTATTTCTCACTACTGTTCAACATGTTTCTCTTTCTCCTTCCCCTCCCCCAAGCAAGTCTCTTCACTGTCCCACAAACAAGTCATGCTCACTCCTCCCTCTGTGCCTTAGATCATGTTACACTCCCTCCCTCTTTTTCATACTGCTTAACATTTATATAACACTTTAAAAAACACTCTCCTCATGAGTCTGCCACACAGGTAGTATAATTATTATCCCCATTTTACAGATAAGTAAACTGAAGTTCAGGAAGATGGAGCGATTTACTCCTGGTTACATGTTTAATAGTTGGCAGAGCTGGGGATATTATCTAAGTCTTCTGATTCAGTACTTTCCCCGCACTACTAAACAAATTTTACTCATTCTTCAAGGCCTTTCCAAGTGTAGCCTCCTCTGACTTCAGGTCCTCACAGTTCTGTTCCTTCTCTGAATACTTATAATACTTGTACTGCAATTTACCACTTAATTATATACCATTAAGACAGGGATGATCCCCTTGGAGCATATGCTCTGGCTCTGGGAGGGATGGAACAGAGGTGGCAATTCTTTACTGATGCACACATAAAACCAAAGGTTTCTGGTAACTCTTCCTCTGAAAAAAAAAAAATCCAGAACTGGGAGAATAGGCCACATGTCCAGGAAAAGTGGTTCACTAAATAGACTTTAAAAGGTTTTTCTTTTTGTCATCTGTCAAGTAACCCTGTGCAACTTTCTGAGACTTCCAGCAAAGTGGTAGGAGGAGAGGAAGGAGGATTGCACAGTAGTGGCTGCTCACACATGGCAGTAAGAACATGTTTTCCCTAACAGATGAACTTGAGCCTAGACCTCCAGTACTTACATGACTCTTCTTTGTTTTTAATTGCCCTGAGCACAGGTGACTGAAAAGTGATTTAGACATATGGCTTTTTCTCCTCCTTGGCAGCAACCTTGGGAGTTTGAGAAATCAGCAGGAACTGGGTGCTAGTTGCTCAGCTTCTTCCTGCAGCTAACTACAATGCTCCTTGGAGAGGATGATCACAGACAGGAAGGTAAGCTCAAGCCTTGCTGTGGTCCACCAGAAGCTACAAACCTAGAATGAGCTGCTCAGACGGTGCAGATCCAGGGTTAAAGTGAAATGCCTGCTCAACAGGCAAGACCTTACCAAGTGTTTCATGTTTCAGTGTTTTTAAGTATTATCCTGCCAGGATGGTGTAAAAGGAGTTATGAGTTATCGCTTCATGCTTTGTTAATGCACCCTTTTGTATCTTCTGTGTTTTAAGCATTTCATTTTGTTGTGGAGGAAATAAATAGCGTTTTACACCTGGTCTACTTTGTATCCTTTTAATCCATTTTGGGGAAACCATAGACAGGCATCAAAAACCCTAAGATTTAAGAGATTTTCCCTAGGGATCCAGAGTGGAGGTTGTAATGTGCTGGGATTGGAGGAGAACTTGTTTCACTTTTATCTTTGGGGCTAGGATCTCTAAGGACTGAACTCTTTGTGAACCCAGATCTTGAGTGAGTCTTTCATGCTTTGTGAAATATTGTTGTTCCATACATGTTAATCTTGTAAGATGTAATGGTCCATTCATTCTATTTTATCCCCAACAACTTATCAAGTGCTTTAATAGATGAAGAGTAGAAATTGAAGGATCTAAATCCAAATTCCAAGGAGTTAGAGCTAGCAAAGAGAATACAGTGGTCTGCAACACAGCAATGGTGTGTGTGTGTTGGGAGGGAGGAAAGCTAGGGTCTGACTGCATCCTGATGGGTCTGAAATGTCTACTTACGTTTATGTTACAGAAGGATAGCAAATACATAGGTGTCCCATTTAGGATCATAGATTTCAGGCTGGAAGGTATCTCAGAGGTCCTCTAGTCCAGCTCCCTCAATTCACAGATGAGTTAAGTGACTTGTCCAAGGCCATGAAGGTAGCAAATGTTAGATGTGGGATCTGAACAGAAAGCCTCTGATTCCAGTTAGCGCTGTTTCCTTAAAAGTCGCTGCCTTCTAAAATCCTAACACTAAGATCTATGACACTGGACCGTTTGAGATCTGTCAGAAAACATCTTAACCGAGGTAGTCTGTGTGTCCAGGACGCTGAGGTCCTGAGTGCGAGGATAACCAGTCCTCTGCCTCCTCACTTCCAGTAATGAAGGAGTGGAGTCAAGAGGACAAGCATTGAGAGTCATGAAGCGACCTTTCTCGCTGTACTTCTATTAAGCACCGGGGGTACATCACTCAGTCTCTCTGGAACTCAGTTTCTTCATCCCAAAATCTTGGGGTTTGGATTAGATTAGCTCTAAGGTCCCCCCTCCAGCTCTAGGGACTTCCTGTCTCCCCCGTCCAGATCTAGGGACTTCGGATTGCACCCCCCCCCCCGCCCCGTCCCCACACATACATTCCAGCGCCGGGGACTTCGGATCCCCCACTTCAGCTCTTCGAACTTCCCCGTCCCCGCGGGGAGCCCACTCTTATAAAGGAGACGTGAAGTCCTCGGGGTTGGGGTCAAGTGGTAGTCTTGACCAAAACTTACAACTCAAGCAGGAGTCCCATCCGGGAGGGAGGTGGTTGTTCCCAAAGGGCCCTCGGCGGCCCCTTTAAATGCTAATGAGGACTCACCCGGGCTGGCAGCAGAGGAGCCCGAGCTCCTAGACTTCCCTCCTCCCACCATTGCCCCCACCCCACCCCGCCCCGCCCGGTCCGGCTCGCCCCGCCTCTTCCCTCCCCCCACCCCCTCCCGGGCACCTAGAAAAACTTGAGCGGGCCATTTTCCGGGCAGTAAGATCGAGTGCGCGCGCCGCCCCGACAGCTCGAGCCGCCGCTGGCAACATCCCCGCGTCCACCCCCGACGCGACACCGGCCCCCTGCCCGAGCCCCGGGCCGCCTCCCCCGGCGTCTCCAGGACCAGCCACGGCCGCGCCGGCCCAGCTGCCACCGCTACCACCAACCGCCGACCAACCACCGCGGGTGGCCGAGGGAAGAGCGACGGACAGCGGCATGAGCGAGGCGGGCGAGACCACCCCCCAGCCCCAGGCCCCGGCGGCGGCCCCAGACCCCGCGCCCAAGAGCCCAGCGACCAGCGGCGCCCCCCCGGCTGCCGGCCCGGCCGCCGCCGTCCAGGGGAGCAACCCCAGCGGCGACGCAGCGGCCGCGCCGGCCCCCGCCCCAGCCGCCGCCTCCGCAACCACGGAAGACCCGGAAAAGAAAGTTCTCGGTGAGAGCCCCTGACCCCGGGCGCGCGGGGCACCGGGGTCGTGGCCGCCCCGGGAGAGCGCGGCTCCACGTGGGGGGTCCGGAGCTGAAAGCACGTGCTGGCTAGCCGGGCTCCGCGCGTGTGAGTGTGCGCACGTGTGAGTGCGAGTGCGACTGTGTGTGTGTGTGTGTGTGTGTGTGTGTGTGTGTGTGTGTGTGTGGTTGACAAGCGTCCGCCCCCGTCACCTTGAGCCAGGCACCCCCCCCTCCTCAGGTGAGTACGCCCCGAACGGTCCACGTGTTTTCTCTATGTGCAATCCCCCTCCCCAAGTTCCAGTTCTTCTGCGCTCCAGTCCCGCCCGCAGCTCCTTCTCTCCCCACCCCCACCCCTAATGAGGGGAGAGAGTGTCAGAGAAAGTCTGATGGAGGAGGTTTTAAGGAAGGTAAAGACAGGGAAGGAAGGGAATTCAGGTTCACCTTCCCGTAGGGAGGACCGAGGGCGTTTGTACCGAAGGAAACAGGAAGATTCTATTAAAGGAGAGGCAGGAAAGGGGGTATCTTTTCCTTGCAAGGTGCATGTGTCCGGTCCTGGATGCCCTTTCCCTCGTGGGATAGACGCCATTTCTTCTCGTCTGAGCCACGCATCTTACCGACAAAGGGGTGTTGCTTTCCTGTCGGAGAATCCTTCCTAACTCGCTGACACAAGCCTTTCCATCATCTGTTCTTACCCCTCCCCCACAGTGAGAATCCCACATTGCTAACCCTGTTGGGTTGGGCTTTCTGCTCCTCTCCAGGCTCTCTGCCCCTCCACTTTGGGACCCGCATATGCTTACAACTGCTGTGACATAAAATCCTGTTAATGTGGATTGTAATCAGCTTTATCCCGGAAGGGTTGGCAGGAAAATGGGTGAAATCTGTCGGTTGGACAGGAATAGAAATCCTTTAAAGTTTTGGCCACATGGTGCTCCTCCCCCCTCCCCTCTTGTTACACCCTGTTGACTGTGTTTAGGGAAGGCAAGAACCAGGCTGTAATCAGGTGTGTATGCTTGCGTGTGGGTGGCGAATAAGATGACTAAAGGGTGTGTATGTGCTGTCATTCACTCTTTTAAACTCAAAAGTTAGTCTGTGGGTGTGAGATGCCTAAGTAGAAAAACATACACCACTCCCCTGATACTTATTTTTCTGACCTGGCTTCTAGGGCCATTAATGGGGGTGGGGTGGAACTGGTCAAAACCTGAGTAAAGAGTGAAGGATTGGTGACGAGACTACCCCTACCGCGAATATTACATTCACAGCATCCAGTGAACATCCATGGGGTGTAATAAAGCTTGATTAAGAAGTTAAGCGAACAGGTTCTTGCTTATGCAAAAAAAGTCTTGAATGTAATTAATATTGATGGTATTTGATGTGCTTAAAATATGCCTCATTGAGAGATGACTGCAAGAAAGTATCCCTGGGCAGTAAGTCCTAGGAATTTGATAAGTATTTTGCTGGTATCCCTGCCTTATCCCCCATAGGTTTTTTGTTTTTGCCTCTTGGCTTCGGTAAACAAAACCTGGGTGGAAAAAAAAATATGAGTGAAATCATCAACATGGAAATCCTACACATACCCACACACCTTTTTGGGGGGGGGGGGGATGTGAAGATGATCTTCCCTGAATGGCATGGGGAAGGTGTGTAACCTAACTGGGTTAGATTCAGGGTGGTTAGGTGTAGTTGAACCTACAATCTTTCAATAAGGACCTTTTTTCCCCCTCTGCATATGTTGGATCTACTCTGCATAACAGTATAGTGTTAGTGATATACTAGATGTAACCTAAGTTTCATGCTGTTATCTTCTTACTTAGTAGAGGGTTAAAATAATCTCATAACCACAATACAAAATATTCTAAGAGAAATGCTTTTAAAAATAAAGTGTTCATAGATTCCTTTGTTTCTATTCTAAACTTTAGTAGTAACCACATTTGCAAAGGAGAAAGTGGTGAATGAGAGGCTAGAGAAAGAATGTTAAACATTGTCATCTTAGTTGTCCTCAGCCTTCACGTTGAAAATCTAAATGTTAAGGTGATTGCTAATTAAATTAAGGACTACTTCCACATATTTGAGGGCATTGGTTTGAAAACAGTTTAGATGGATGGATTCAGACTACAGGCATCTTTCCTTATGTCTTCAAACTCACTCAACTCCTCTTATTAGACAGGAGTTTATGCTTCTTTTCCCCTACTCTGACAGATGAAGGGGTTATTGGCTAAAACCCCACAATTCTAAATCTTTTATTGTAGGCATGGTTAATAGATAGGCTTAATCCAAGCCATTGGATTGGTGTCATTCAGAATAAGCCTCTGATTCAGTGGGATTTCTATACAGTTTATACATTTATGGTCATTATAGAAAGGCAACACAGATCTTTGTCAGTTACATGGTGCACACTAAGACTTGGTGTGGTTTTCTAATTTTGTTACATTCCCATGCTATGAGGCTTGGGACAGACTAAAGTGAGAGCCAAAAAATTTCATTTTGTTAAAACTATGACTTAATAGCATATACAAAATATTCTTTGTTCTGTTTATTTTGACACCTCATTTAAATGAGATTTCCAGACTTCTCAGTTGTTGAAATCACCTAGTACTTGTTTATATTTATATTGAGGACTACAGAATGAATTTGTCACATCTGAATTGGCACCTCTTTTGCCAGCAGAAAAACTGTAAAAATAAAATCCTTTCCTCAGCTACCTTTTAGGTTAGGTCAGAAGTATGGAGATGTCCCAGAGTGGAGGTAAAATTATTTCTTTGGTCTTCACTTAAATCCTCCTTTGTGGGGTAGCTAGGTGGTGCCGTGGATAGAGCACTAGCCCTGAAGTCAGGAGGACCTGAGTTCAAATACAGTCTCAGACCAAACACTTGACACTTACTAGCCGTGTGACCCTGGGCCAGTCACTTAACCCCAGTTGCCTAAAGGAAAAAAAAAATTTTCCTTTATTTTGTTTTAATTGAAACAGGAGGCAAACTTAACATATTTTCACTTAGTATTGTTGCTGATTCTTCCTTAGACAACCAAAAATACAACTGCAAAAGCCCACCAACATGAGTGTAGTATTATCAACCTGGTTGAAGTTCAGAGTAAAATAACAACTTGATGCAAATTTTAAGAAAATTAGTGATTTAGTACTAGAGTCCTGAATTTGCAAACTAATGCTTAGCAACTGTAAACTTTTCAGTGAGAAGTATGTAGATGTATCCACATGTTGACTATAAAGAGTTGCTCTGTTATGATACTTCAATCTTCCTTGTTCATTAAAAAGGATAATTCTCTCTAGGTGATAGTTTCCACCTCTTGTATTGATAACTGCTTAGGTAAACTTGTGTGTATGCTTCTGAAAAATATTTCATTCTGATGCATCCTCTGAATTTTAGTACTGGTTTGTTGAAGTTTTAATTAAAATACAAATTTCCACAAGAGGCAGATTTTTGGTGGCATACAGAGTTGGTTTAAAAATCAGGGCTTGTGCCTAAGAGGAGCAAATAAATCAAAAGGGGAATAAAGTGACTGTTTGGAGGACAGGTTATCTTGTTGTAGTAATGAGCTACCTAAAGCTTGGTAAACAGCCCTGTAACAGGGAGTTGGCGGAAGAGGAGGAGGAGTAGTAGGGGATGGGCAGCAAATTTGAGGGAGTTCAGAGAATAAAATTGGTTTTTACTTCAATTGGTTACAGGAGGGAATATAATCTTGTTGCATTTACAAAAGGCCTGTTACATCATGTATTGTGGTTTGGGTGCCAGGACCACACCAGGGTAGTCTCAGTTCTGTTCTTGGTTCAATGGCTCATGTTTAGTCCCCTATTTGTTTGGTGGTGGTTGTTTTTTTTTTTTGTTTGTTTTTTTGGCTAGGTAATCTTTAAGTGACTGTGATTTGAACTCAGGTCCTCCTGACTCCAGGGCCGGTGCTCTATCCACTGTGCCATCTAATTGCCCCATTTAGTCCTCTATTTGGACAGCCCCCTCTCTATTGCTGTGCCTGGCTTCTGCCATGAAAATGGGGTTGCTGTGAGGCATTAATTATATCTCAAAACGAGAAAAGATAGATCTTGGTAGTTCATCTATCTCTCATGTTATCTGACTCTTGTACTCTTGTACTTTAAAATCTTCAAATACTGAACATAAAGAGCACTTTTCTGTATTCTTTTTCTAGTTACTACAATAATAATCTAGAATATTCTGAATAATCTCGAAATCAAATTTTATACCAAGAACAAGGCCTACCTATTCTCATTCTCTTTGCTCATTTTCTTCTGTCTTTTGTATTTAAACTGGTAGTGTTTCATCCTCTGTGTTTGGTGGGTTTTGAGAAATGCTTAACTTCCATTAATGGGAATCCTTATCTGTTTGTAGGCTATCAACTAACTTAATATCTGCTTAATCTTTAGCCACCAAAGTCCTTGGCACTGTCAAATGGTTCAACGTCAGAAATGGATATGGTTTTATCAATCGGTATGTATTTTAATTTTACAGTGGCTTCTGTGGTGCCACAAGTAGTTTTTATCAGATAATTTTATTTAAGATTTATTAATTAATGACTGTTAAGGTTTTTGAGTGCTATAAAGCTATTGTTTCCTAAAAGAGTGAAGAATAAATTTAATTCTTAAAGTAGTCTCTGCAAGGAAAACTATTTTAAAAGATAAAGTGGGGAGAAATTTTGAGGTGGAAAGAACTGTAGAGGTTACCAAGTTCAATTCCCTCAGTTTATATGTGAGGAAATGGAGGGAGGCCCAGAGAACTTAAATGACTTAATATCATAAAACTTGTAGGGGCAGACTTGAAATTAAAACCCAGGTGGTAGATTCAATATAGTATCTTGCCAAACTAGGTTGTCTTTTGCCCTTGTAGGAATTGGAAGGGGGTTTGGGGCTACTTGGAGTAGCATTGAGCATATAATATTAGTTTTGACGTTTTCCCTGTGGTTTCCCACCCCCCTCCTCACTTGAGGGGGCTGTTTTGAATATCAGTGTAAGGAGAGCCTCGCTCACAGCTGTGCCCTGTCCTTTTGACAGTCTCTCTCTGCCTTTGCTGAGAGAACAAACTGAGGCTCTGGTTACACACCATGTGGGGCAGAAAGGGAAGGCAGAAGAGGTGCTTGTGTGTGTGAAGTGTTTGAAAGTTTGGATCTTGTGCCATAGATTGTGTGATGAAGCAAAAAGAATGTCAGGGTTGACATTTGGGGCAGTCTTTTGGTGTTAATTAGCATGAGGAATATTACGTCTTTTGATTTGCAAGGGTAGGGTGATTCCTAGGGGACTTTGAAAAGATTTTTGTATGTTCTTTTACCTTAGAAAGAGGTGCTAAGTTATTTTCTTAGTTATTCTCTGGGGTAGGATCCTTGTTCTTTATGAAGACAATCTATAAAAAAAAATTTAATCCATACTTAGTACTTTCTTTTTAATTGTGAGATTTTTGTTTTGTTTTCTTTCCTCCCACAGAAATGACACTAAAGAAGATGTGTTTGTACATCAGGTAAGAGGGATGGATGATAGAGCTGTGAATTTCCTAACTCAGAATATTATACAACTTTGCACTTAAATAACACAAGTCTAAGAACTCATTTGTACTCAGCATTATCAGATTTTATTATAAATTATGGAGGAATGGATAAAGTAGATAAATAAATGCCCCTCTTTTGCTTTTTAAAGTGACTTATTTTTATCATCCACGATTCTTATACAGACATACCTTTTGAAGTTTTTGTCCTTGGCATAATAATTTTTTATTTTTTGCCTGTGGTACTTTACTGTTAGTAAACATCCTGCTTCAATTTAACAAACCCTTAATTGCCTTCCCTGTACACACTGGGTACCCTGCTTGGCAATGGGGATATAAAGACAAAAACAGAAACAATCCCTGCCCTGAATGAAGGAGCTTGATAGTTTATGAAAGCACAGGTTTTTAACCTCTGGGACCATGGATGGATTTCAGGGGAATCCATTAACTTAGATGGGTAAAAATTCATCCTTATTTTTACAAATACTGAAATTTAGCATTAGGCTTCACCAGACTGCCAAAGGGGGTCCATGACACTGAAAAGGCTAAGAATGCCTGTGCTAGGTGAACACCTGCACACAAATCGCTGCCATTAAGGAGCTTATAATCTACTGGAAGGAATGTCCCCAGATATGTATAGTATAAGAAGAATTGAGGGAGAATGCAAACGATAGGGGCTCCAGGAATTGAGGGGAGAATTCTTGAATGATTCAGAGAGGCAGAGATGGAGAGTGACTTTTGCAAATGGAGGGAGGAGATGAAGTGTGGGATTTAGGGAATGTCTAGTAGTTTGTTTGTCTAGAACACAGCTTCTAAAGAATTAGTAGCATGAAATAAGGCTGCAAAAGTAGGTGGGAGCCTCCTAAGCCTGAAATGTCAGACTTAGGATTTGTATCTTATCCTGTAAGGCAATGGAGCTAATGAAATCATTAACTCTTCTGCTTCAGAATACTTTCTTCTGCTTCTTAGCCCATTTTTCAAGTGTGAACATGTATTTCCTTATGGCCCTAACCTTGTATTTCCTCCTTAGTCCTTTGCTGAAGGAGCCATTCATTCTCTTAGCCAGTTGGTTGATTTTATCTATAGCTACAAGTGAATATAGTGGGAGACTAAAGCCTCAGTTCATAGTGCATTATTCAGCTTTGTTAAGAAAGCTAAGAGTAGTAGTATGGTATTCTGGTTATGTGATTTGGTTAAGTTGTGACAGGAGCATATCCTGTGGGCTTCGTTTGAAAAATAGTTCTAAATCCTCTGGTGGTTAAGACTAGAGGAGTAGGAATGGGACAAAACATGGACCTCTTTGCTGCAAGTGATGCTTATCAGTACCTCAGTGGGGCATTCAGGGCTTGGCTATATTCAGGACTGCAGAAAGAGGCTCGCCTTTACTTACTAGAAAAGTTGTGTTTTTTAAAAAGTTTTTGTGTGGATTGATGTATGTCTGAAATGACTGTGTACACAAACCTTTTTCTTAAGTCTATGATAATAAGTAGGAAGAGGTTTAGTTGATTGGGACCCTGCTCTGGAATCAGGAGTCAGGACCCTGGGCAAGTTGATTGACCACTCAATATCTGAGGCGATTCTAGCATGTCTGCTTTGGTTGGTAGCCCTACATCAATCAAATCTCAGGTCTGGACAAAAAAATTGGGAAATCGAAATATTGATTCACTCTAGAATCTCTTAGCCCCTTGTCACTATTGAACTGGTTGGTAATCCTCAGTCTTGGTGAGGAGGAACATCTGGTCTACTCTTGGAACCTCCTGCTGCATTTGGGTTGTTTAGCAGAACAGGTACAAAATCCTGTCTGCTTGTGAAAGTTTGTGTTGCATAATGTGAGCTAGGCCTTCACTGGTGCTTGATAATTCAGGGCTGTAACAAGCATGGAGCTAATGAGACACTTGATTGGTTTAGCAAAGATCAGGGGTGTAGAAAAATCACAAAATATATCTACATATGCTGTCTCAAGCATATGCTGCCCCCCTCTCCCCATTTTAAGGAGGGGGGGAGATGATTTTATATTCTTGCTTTAGGCACAGAATTAGCTAGTTGTGGTGTGTGAGGCAATCAGATGCTAGCTTCTTAAACTCCACTGCAAAATTTTCATATAATCCTTTCAGTTTTTTCCTCTTGTCTAGGAAGGGCAATTAATCCCTCTACCTGCCTTAGTAATTTTCCTTCTCCCTTTCCCTTTTGTCTTCAGTTTCTTTTCATTGTCTTCTTCCCTTCTGTTTATGTCACTTTCCCACCCCCCTCTTTTTAAGGTTTACCTCGACTCTGCTACCTCATTCATCTACCATCTCATTTCTTCTCACCCATCATGGCCAAAGCTTGGGTGAGGAAAAAGTAGTGTACACATGATATCCTTCCTCATATCCCTGCAGTCTGGCTCCTTTGAGTATCCTTAACCTCCTTGACCTCTATGTAGCAGTTGTCATTACCTGTTACCTCTTGAATATTTACCTTTTTCTTGGCTTTTGGGATACTATACTTTCCTGGTTGTTCTCTTCCTGTCTCTTTAAAAGCTCATTTTTGTCTGCTTGTCTTTGTTCCATCTCAGTAAGGTGGGTAGTCCTTAAGATTCTATCTTTTTGCTCTCCCTGAGCAATCTTATTTACTCCCATGACTTCACTTCCCAGATCTATATTTATAGCTCTGACCTCTCTCCAGACTTCATAGAATCATAGATCTAAGAGTTGGAAGGGACCTCAGGCCCTCTAGTCTACCCCCTCTTCCATTTTTCAGAGGAGGAAACTGAGAGCCTTCCTTCCATTATCTGTACATTAAACTGACCATAGGACATTGTCGCTGGAATGTCCCACTTTAGGCCGACTGTGTCAAAATAAAGTGGATTTAACTTGTACTCTCAAACCTGCTTTTCGTTTTGATACAACTTTATGTCTGGAGCATGACGTAAGTCTCTCCTGTTGGCAACTTTAGTGGTACCTTGGACTCTACTGTTTCTCTTCCCTCGTTATTCAATCAGTTAATCCAGTATTATGGTCCTGATCTCTCCATTCATCTCTTTTTCCCTCCTGTCAGTTACCATAGTAGAGACTTTCATTGCCCCCTTTCTGTACTATCGTAGTAGCCTTAGACCAGCAGTGATATGAGGGATAGTTTTCTTCAGCACAAACTAAATCATGTCATTGCTATTCAAAACTTTAATAATTTCTTATTGAATAAACAGTAAGTAAAGTTTAGATTCCTTAGGGTGCCATTGTGAGGCCTATTATACCCTGCCTTTACTTTTTAATCTTATCTTCCCTCTGCAGTTGAGCCAAACTGGTTTACTTGCCATTCTCTCTGTATACTTTCCCTTCTTTGTTTCTTTGGTTCTTCCTGTTCCTATGACTGCAGTGCTATCCCTGCCATGCCTTCTGTTTGTTGAAAACCGTTAAAGGCAGCATGGTAAATGGAAAGACTACTCACTGGCTTTGGAGTCAGGGGACCTGGGTTCCTTAGACTATCTGTGTGACCTTGGGGCAAGTCAACCTCACTTCCTTAGAACTGTTTCCTATTTAGAATTAAAATGAAGAGGCTAGCCTGATTGGCCTGTAAGCTGCATTCTATCTCTAGGTCTCTGAACTGACATTTACAGATCACTTGAAAGTGATCAAAACACTTTACATACCTTATTTCATAGGTCTGGCTGTAATGTTTCTTTTTGGAGTTATTTCCATTCTACCTAGAAACCTTTTATTGGATTAATTTAGTATGGCTTCGACCTACCTCCCAAGACCTACATGCTGTAGGAGGTCAGTATTGTAAGTAAATAAAGCACTCTCTGGAATTGTCTGTGTTTCAGTAAGGAATCTGTAAGTTCCCTGTCTAGTGTCCAGTCTTGATTAGCCTATAAAAATGATCTGATTACAATGATTCAAAGTTGTGATTCATCCAGATGTGCTGAGGCCTGCCCAGTTTAACAGGAAAAAGGAACTAGGAGGCAGGGAGGGGTTGTTATTAGAATAGTAGCTGCATATGTATAAGCACACATCCTGTCTTTAATTGCTTTTTCCCCCCTCCCCTTTTGTGGGTGATTTCTCTGCCCTGTTGGCTAACTCTCTCTCTTCTTCTCCCTCCTACTCACAGAGAATAGGGGAGGGTCTGGATTACACATACTTAATCACTTTAAAATAAGATTGGCCTAGTTGTATAGAAACTGGGCCTCTGTTACCATACAAGTTACACGGTAGCTCTTCAAGGGAGAGTTAAGACATTAAATGAAATTATGTTTTCCCTTCGATCTTTTCCCTTAAAGGTGGGAGGATGGGAAGGGAGTGAGAATTTGTACAAAACTAATGTTGAGCTGTTTCGACTTGTGGTTGTATTTTCATTATTCTGATCATTTAAGGGAACATTTAGGAATGGAAAGCTATGTGCTATGGTTAAAGTTAGGAGACAGGAAAATGAGGCTATCAACAAAATATTTAAATTGTGTATCATTTCTGTCTTCTCACTTTTCCCATACAACTTCTAAATGAATCCAAAGAGGTGGTGGGTTTTTCTAGTATTAAAATATTTTCTCAAAGTAACTTTTTAACCCTGTCTGTTTTTTATTCCTCTGATTTACTCTTTGCAACTCATTTTGAGTTGTTAGTTTACTTTGCCTGTCTGATGGTAGATAGGAAGAAACTCCCCATTTGAGATTGCTTTACTTAAAGGGCTAACATGTAAGTAATATGACCTTTCCATGACAATGCATTCTCAGGATCTGCCCCTATGATAGCAGGCGCATGCTTTGGGTCGTCCTGTTGTACCCATGGTAAGCACTAGGAAAGTATTACCTTCCCAAAAACTTATTACTTACATGTTAACCCTTTAAGTAAAGCACTGCCCTTTTATCTTTATTAGTATGTCACCTTAGTTGAGGAATGACAACTTTTTAAATGTCAGTAATTACTGAAAAAAAAAGTACCTTTTCAGAGAACCAGTTTGGGATCATGGGAGCAAAAAAAATGGGGCCAGGTTCTATTGATAAGTTTTCTCTGTTTCTCTCAACAGACGGCTATCAAGAAAAATAATCCACGGAAATATTTGCGTAGTGTGGGTGATGGAGAAATTGTAGAGTTTGATGTGGTTGAAGGAGAGAAGGTAAGAACAAATTTATCATTTGTGTCTTCTGTTAACTCTTGTGATTCCATATAGTCTAATGCAGGTCTTAATATTATTTTCTTGTCCCCTTTGCAATACCTTGTTGGCTAGAGTAGGATGATTTTAATTATCTGATCTTAACTTCAGGATTTGGTTTTAGAGAAATTCTAGGTGGGATAACTGTACTCTTGTGGAATAATCTTCAAAACTAAGATGGTGGGTTAGAATCAGGCATAACAATGGAACCTGGACTGTGCCCTAGGTCTGGCCCAGCCATTTTGTGAAGCAGCACTGGCTATTTTATTCCTTGGCTGATCAGAGGCTTTGGATTAAGTACATTTGAAAGTAAAGCAGAATGTAGAATGTTCATCCACGTTGAACAGGAATCTGCCCCCTTCTAACTTCTATCCTTTGGCCAATAATTGAATAGTCTTCAGACCCCCAGTATCTTTCCCACATGAATATGTAAGTGGGTATGCTTTTAATCCCAAACTAATCTAACTTGAGAGTTGACCTGAAAAAAGAAAGAATGATGCAAAGATGGAATAAAATGTTGTAAGTGATGAATCTACTGTTACCATTCAGGTTTTGATTGTGAAATCAGTTAGATACAAAGCAAACAAGAATCTTAGTAGTAGTGAAGGACTGGCTGAAGATTCTGGAGAATAGCCAGACATCACTTGTTGATTTCTGGAGGGTCTATAGCAGGGCTTCTTAATCTTTTTCAGACTTCTTAGGTAGTTGCTTGAAGCCTACAAAGCCCCCCTCCCAGAACAATGTTTTTACATGCATAAAATACATAGAATTACCTAGGAAATCTGTTTTGTTGAATTACAGTTATCAAAATATTGGGGGAGGGGAAGAATTTTATGAATCCCTGGACTATAAGAAGTCTTTGCATATTACTGAACTGAGTTTTTTCTGCAAGTATGTCCTTTTTGTTGTTGCATTTTTCAGTCTTTTTGATCCATGAGTTAAAGTGACATTTTAAATCTAGTAGTATATTATCACACTTTACGGTATTATCTGGTAGTTTTGCCCATTGATGAATATTTATTTTTTAAAATTGCTTAATTTAAAGCAAAAAAATAAAGGGAATTAAAGGGAAAAAATGCTTTCAAAAACATACTGCAACGGAAACTTATCTAAATGAGGTCTAATATGGGTCTAGAACAAGTTAAGTGATAGTTTTGCTGTATGCTTTGCCTTAGTTGGACCACACCTAGAGTAACTAGGAGAAGAGAAGACTTTGGAGGAAGACATCATAGCTGTTTTCAATTATTTGAAGGATTCTGAGGGGGCAAAACTAGTATCATTGTGAATGGTTGGTGCAGAGAGGCAAATTTAGTCTCTCTGTAGATTGGTCACCAAGCACTTATGAAGCCCATGCATACTAGGCTGGAGATGCTTGTGGGGGGCGGGGGTGAGAGAAGGAGGTCCTCTATCCCCAAGAGTATGCATTCTTTTGGAGAAACAATATGTAAATGTAAAAGTAGATATAAAGTAATTTTATGTGAGAAGCATTAGTTTATTGTTGTTTAGTTTCTTTCAGTCGTGTCCCACTCTTCATGACCCCATTGGGGGTTTTCTTTGCAAAGATATTGGAGCAATGTCCCATTTTTTTCTCCAGTTCATTTTACAGATGAGGAAACTGAGACAAACAGGATAAAGTGACTTGCCCAGGGTCACACAGTTAGTAAGTGTCTGAGGCTTGATTTGAACTCAGAAAGATGAGTCTTCCTGTTTCTACACCCAGTGCTCTATCCACTATGCCACCTAGCTGTCCCACATTAGATTAGATAAAGCTTTTTTTGGGCTTACTGAGGGTCCAGCACTGTGTTAAGTGTTGGAAATCCAAATTACAACACCCTCCCCCCCAAAAAAAACAACAACTGTCCCTGCCCTCAGGAAACTTATATTCTAATTGGGGAAGATAATAGTTAAAAGGAACTTGAAGGGGTGCGGGGCTAGAATGGGGTAGATAGGAATAAGGTAGGAAAAGTTAGAAGATAGTCAGAAACAGAGTCATGTTGCAGGTAAACTTCTTGAATTGGAAAAAGCCTCACGTAGGATGTGGCACCTGAACTGACCTTTGCAGGATGCTAGGGATTTTGAGAGGCAGAGACGAAGGAGAGGATTAATTCTAGGCATGAGGCACACCCTGTGCAAAGAAACAGAAACAAAGGATGAGCTGTCATGTGTGAACAGACAATTTGGCTGTATATTAGTGTATGTGAAGGGAATAATATATGTCTAGTAGCCAGGCTGTGAAAAGAGCAGGACACTTACATGCTTTTAGAATGTCATTCAGTTGTATGGAAGATGTTTGTAGAGAGAAGAGACACCAGTTAGTAGTCTGTTGGTAGTCTAGGTGTTGGGCTTGATGCCCTGAAAGAGAGGTGGTAGCTATGTAGAGAGAGGGGTTGATACAAGAGATATAAAGAAAACTTAGAGCTATCCAGAAGTGGAATGGTTTGCCTTGGAAGGTGAAGGTAGTAGTCTTCTTTTTTCATGAAAGGCCAAAAAGGAAAGATGGGGTATCTAATTGTCAGGAATGTCAGAATAGTAATTTATAGCCTTTTCAAGTAGTGTCAAATTTTGTGGATGCCCTGTTATCATACTATGTACTATAGCTCGATGATGAAATTTCACAATGACAAAGCTGTACTAAATTTAGGAAAAAGAAAAGAAAAGCAATACATTATTCTGTCTGCAGAAAGCATGTTAATTTGAGTCATTTTTTGAGTTCCACTCATTGCATAGGTTGGGAACCACTGTTGGAGGAGTTATTGAATTAGATGACCTGATGTCTATTCTAACTCCTTAACATCTGTTATGTTTGCGTGTCACTTCACAATAAGATTCTGGTTCCATTTGTAATACAGCTGAAGCTCAGAGGTCACCTAACCCAGCCCAGGACAAGAGGGTGAGATGTGAGTCTACGTCTCAACTGACTCCACATCCAGGGTCCGATAGGCACATTCCAGGCTGTAACTGTCCACATGTTTTAAAACTATTGTTAATTCAGTTCATAAGTAGTTAACCCATATTATCCACATATCCATATTAACTTTTTAATGCCATTGTTTCTTCCTCATGCTTTGTTAAAAGTAGAATTTTCTTTTCAGGGGGCAGAAGCAGCCAATGTAACTGGCCCAGATGGAGTTCCTGTGGAAGGTAGCCGCTATGCTGCAGATCGGCGCCGTTACCGACGTGGTTATTATGGTCGGCGTCGTGGGCCTCCTCGTAGTGTGAGTAGTCGCAGAATCTCAAAGCTGGAAGAGATCTGAGGCCAATTCATATCTGAATAAAAATCCCTTCTATAACATACCCAACAAATCATGATCTGGCTGGAGGAAGACCTGGTGATGGTAAATCTACTATCTTGTGAGATGGCATTATCTCTCCCTTAGTGTTTACTTCGGACTGCACATCCTTAGTTCCTTTGACCAGTGCTCATGGAATTAATATCATGCCCTTCATCCTTTTACCTACCATCCTGCTTGCTCTCCTGGATGCACTCCAGTTTATCAATGTCGTTCCTTAAATACGATACCCCAGAATGTAACATAATAATCAGAGGTGGTCTGAACAGGGCAGAGTATAGTGGGACTGTCAGCATTAATTGTCTTATTACAGCCTAAGATTAATTTTTTTGGTTACCATATTATATATTTGATTCATATTGTACCTTCAATTTGCTGAACCTCATTGAAACTACTGAAGTCTTTTTCACGTGAACTTTTGACTAGTCATACCTCCTTCTCAGAGATGATGTTGCACTTATCACTATTACATTTTATTTAGCCTGCTGAGATCTTTTTGGATTCAGTTAGCTTTCTCTCCTAGCTTTGAATCATCTTCAGATTTTATAAACGTACTGTCAGTGTCTTTATCCAAGTCATTGTTAAAGAATGAGATAACATCAAAAAAGATGTGAGATTTGTTTGTAATTACTTGTTATTTGTGAAGCTGTTGTTGGCTTTTCCTTTTCTAACTGTTTTGATGTTTCTAACATCATCCCTTTTAGTAATTAATTCTAGAATTTTGCCAGGGATTGAGGTGAATCTTACTGGACTGTGATTTGCAGATTCCATTTTCTTTTATGTAAATAAAGACAAAGTTTGCTCTTTACAGGTTTTTAAAACATGTATTAATTGATGAGTGTGCTCTGTATCCACATTGATTTCTTTATGTAACCTTTCAATCAAAATTGTTTCTTTTTGTGTCTGCAGGATTTAATTCTTGAGTATTTTTTCCCTTTGGGGCTGGCTTAGGCTATGTAGTGTTAGTGCATGGGATTTCAGTTATCTAGCTTTGTCTGCATGCACAATTTATGATGCATCTTAGAGTGTTCTGCACTTACCTCTCTGCCAATCACTACTGTCAGACCCTAGATCATCTGTAAATATTTAGAATAGGAGAGTATCAGATGACAGTTCACTGTTAAGACTTTACAAGTCCTGGAGTCAGGAGAACCTGAGTTCAAATCTAGCCTTAGCCACTTAGTAGCTGTGTGACCCTGGGCAAGTCACTTAATTTAACCCTGATTGCCCCCCCCCTACAAAAAAAGACTTGTCAAGTAAGCCTTTTATTTTTGTAGAAATCAATTGCTAAATACCGTTATTGATTAACACAGGAGATTTTCTGGCTAATTTGAACTTTCAAATATATAGTGCTACCATTCCACTTGGTGTGTATACCCTGAAGTTAGCATGAGATGAAAAATGTGAATTTTCAACTTGCCCTGCTTTTTATGGTCCAATCTGACCTTAGAACCAATTTTTTTCTTGAAGTTGCACTTTAGTCTTTCTGACTTCTATTAACCTGCATTGTTCAAAGGTGATGTGCTATTGGATATGCCTTGGAGACCCGCTGTAGAAAGAGGACAATTTTGTCTTAACTGATTTTTACCTTATGCAGTTTTTTTTTAAGAACCTAACTCCCACATAAGATAAAACTATTTCAGTATCGGTCTTAAAGGTTATAAAATCAAATGCAGTCTCCAGTGACTTTCTTCATTAAGGTTCTGTTCCTTTGGGTTTTGATTTGACTGGAGCTCTCTTGGAAGACAATGCTCTCTTTTATATTTATCTGAAGGGATGGATCAAAGGTGGCCCAGATCCACAATCATCATCATAATAGTAACTTAACACATCTATTTTCTTTCCCCCTCCCATTTTTGGGTTTCCAAAGTGGTTGACAGATGTTATTTCATTTGATCCTAATAACAGCTGTTATGTTGGTGTTGTTATCCCCATTTCACAGATGAAGGCTGAGGGAAAGGTTAAATGATTTTTCCAGAGTGATGCATCTGGCAAGTGTCTGAAGCAGGATTCAGACTCGGGTATTCCTGATTCCCAAATTCATTGCTGTGTGCAGCATACCACTAAGACACTCACGATCCTAAATACCCCAGGAAGATTAGGTTCTGGTTTGGAGACATCTGCAGAATTGTTTTTATCTCCATAAAGGATCTAGCAAATATCTCAAAGGATTAAGTTATCTGGCAATTATTCCACCAAGAATTATGCTATCATTATTCCAGGGTTCTAGAAGTACCCTGATATAATATCTGCTAATTCTGATAGCTCTATTTCATGACCCTTCACTAACTAATCCCATAGCCTCGTACCTATTCTCCCTTGTATTTTACTGTCTTCCCCCTTCTCTACTCCTTCTATAATCTTGGATTTCTTAGGTGTTTCCTTTATTCTCTCTCTTCCCAATCTACTTTCCCTTAAAAAAAAACTTCACTTAATCCCTTGCCCAGTAAGATGTAGTTTTGGGGTGGGGAGGATGTTAGCTGTAACTTTTGGCTTTTGAATAAGCTATAGCAGAAGTGTCAAACTGGGGCCCCACGAGGCCCTCAAAATGCTCCAGAGTTGCCCCAATAAGATTAAAATGTCATTGGGAAATGTTTAGCAAAATAAAGAAAAATAAGTACTTTACAACATAGATAATGCTAATATTGGTTTTCTAAGTCAGTGTACTTCCTGTGGGGGGATGTTACTGAGCTAGATTATATTGCTTGTGCTATACAACTGGTAAAAATTGCTGGATCTAGTGTGAGATTTATAAACTTCCCAAGATGGAAATTGCTCTTGAGGAAATAAGCCTAATTGTTAAATGTAACAAAAGAATCTTTAAAACATCTTTAAGTTTAATTGTCCTTTGAAAGTTTTAATTGTTTAAGTTATCTCAAGAAAGTTTGCTGAAAAGTAGGAATAAAACTTCTCTATTTCCTCGATCTAGACTAGTGATAACATTCTCTGCTATGGTAGGATTTAAAAAATCCTAGCCCTCTGGTGGCCACATCTTCTCTTTTACGGTTTTGAGCAGGTATAAAATGTAGGTTTAATAGGTCTCTTTTAACATCCTTTAATAGAGGAAGATTCCCTTAGAGCATTTTCATCCTATTTCCTAAAGACTAGGAAGACCAGAGAATAGTTGGGATTCCCTTGGTAGGTACTTGAGTGTTTTGGGTTTTTTTTTTTAACCTTTGGGGATTTTTGACATCTTGGATTGCATATATGGAAATTGCTATTAAACTTCTATGAAAGGTGTGGACTGACTTTAAGTAACTTTTTACTAATAACAGTATCTTTTCCATATGTTGTGGAAATAAATTGTTTTTTGAAGTTTATACTAGTTTACTTATAACATGTTACATGCCTTGTTGTTTTTGTAAAATAAGAATTTGAGATAATATCTTAAAATGTCAATCTGTGATTTTATATATGTGCAGGTCAAATAATTGAGTGCAACTTACAAAAAGCGAATCCATTCAATCTTTAGGTCCCATTTTCAGCAGTTATTTGTCACATTCTATTATAAAGGGATAGGAGTTGGAACAATTTTTATGCCTAAGTTACAATGTAGCTAGACTAAGAATACTTGGGTAAAATGCTTGCATTCTTGTCTGCTAGCTTGGATTGGAATTAAAACTTATTGGGGGTAGTGGTGGTATAGTATTTTAGGTGTTGATGGAACTAATAATTTTGTTTCGCAGAATCAGGAGTTATTGCGATGGTGGATCGGCAAACAATGAACATTTACCTAAATAACCATCAAATCTACCATGAATTGCTTTCATACTACTTTGTATCTACCACCTTACTTGCATAGATTGGATGCAGTACTATGCTTGTCAGCTTGGATGCATAGGGTGATCTCTTCTGGGTAGATGAAACTTCTTTTTCTTGGGACTCATACTCAACAGTATTCCGGTAGTCTTTGCTGCTGCTCTTGCCTAGCTTTCTTCCTTGCTATTCTGATTCTTTGCATTTCTTTGCTTCGCTAGTACCCTGGGGAGGAGGAGGAAGGGAGTGGCAGCAGTGAAGGATTCGATCCCCCTACCGCTGATGGGCAGTTCCCTGGGGCTCGGAGTCAGCTGCGCCGCCCACAGTACCGGCAGCGGCGGTTCCCGCCATACCACGTGGGACAGACCTTTGACCGTCGCTCACGGGTCTTTCCCCATGCCAACAGCATGCAGGTAAAATGGCACCCAAATTCTTATTGCCCTGCGGTTGCTCTTACCCTTCAATCCTTCCTGTTTCACCATCCTTCTCCTACTACTCTCTTCTTCCTCCTCCTCCAGCTGGGTGAGAGCAGAACCTTTTCTATGCCCCTCTTAAAAGCTACAAAGTAGCCCATAGTCCTAGGTACTTCTGCATGGCCATCATAGCTAAGTAGAGCTTTAAAAAAACACAACCATGTGAGTGAGCCACTTTTGGATTTGCTAAGTCTCCTTGGGTAGGGGGAAAAAACTATGGAGTAGGGTTGCAATTTGCAGTCTGCCTCCTACCTATGATTCTCTAAGATCCTTTTAGATTGCACTGAAGCTATTTGGTTTCCCTTCTTTGGCTATATCATCACCATCAGTGGTTACTCTTTCTTAATGCCCATGAAACTTGCATCTTTTTTTCTTTCTTTTTTTCTTTTTCTTTTTTTTTTTTTTTGAGGTGAAGGAAGGAAGAATATAATGGAATGAAGACTTTTGTAGGTCTGCAAAATTTTTTTTTACCTTTTGATGTATTAGGTTTTATTGATCAGATGGAGGAGAAGAGAAAGTACTAGCCCATGGAGGAATTAGCAGAGAGCTTGTGTAGGAGGTAATCCTTGAGGGGAACCTTGTAAGAAGGTAAGGTTTATAAGAGGTGGAGGTAAGGAGGAAATGCATTTCAGACATGGAAAAGCCTATGGAAAGACAGATGGGAAATGCAATATCATGTATAATAAGCCAGCCAATTTGGCTTTAACATAAAGTCTGGGGAAGAGATTAATATGTAATAAATGAAGTTGGAAAGGCAGGATGGAGCCAGAGGGTGAAGGGTTTTAAATACTGCGCAGAAGCTTTTTGAACAGGGAAGCATCAGTTTGGTATTTGTGTGAAGGATGGATTAGAGCAAGGATAGATTAGATCAGTTGGCAGTCTATTAGACTTTTATCGCTCATTCATTTTAGTCGTATCTGACTCTACGTGACCCCATTTGGGGGTTTCTTGACAAAGATACTGGAATGGTTTGCCATTTCCTTCTCCAGCTCATTTTGCAAATGAAAAAACTGAGGCCAACAGGGTTAAGTGACTTGCGCTGGGTCACACAGCTAGTAAGTGTCTGAAGCCAGATTAGAATTCAGGAAGATGAGTCTTCCTGACTCCAGGTTTGGTACACTGTACAACCTCGATGCCCAGGCTATCGGAGTAGTCCAGGCTTAGTTCAGCCCAGTCGTGAACTAGGATGGTGGCCATGTGGGTGGAGATAAGCTGGAGGAAATACACATATGACAACTTGGAAATGAGAAGTTTGGGCATGACTAAAAGGTCATGAACCTGAGTGATGGTGGTACCTTTGAGAAATAAATGAATTAGAAGGGAGGATTTGAATGAAAAGATTATTTCTATATTAGACATGTAGATGTATGTCTATATTAGACATATAGACACGTTCAAAAGGTGGAGATATCTACAAGGGGAAATTATTCTACATCTGAATTTTCCTCAACCGAGAGAAAATAGTCAGTAGGGTGGAAATTATGGGAAGAGGCCACTTCTTCCTAGAATTTTTGATAGAAAAGGAGAGGAAATCTGGGTATAGTTTGTATTCTGCATTTGGGGGAAAGTGCATTTCAGAGGATTCAGAAGAAAAATAAGGGTCCACTGGGATGGAGATGCTCAAGAATGAAATGCTGAAAATATAAAGAGGAACATTTAGAATGCAGAAGAAAAATTAGCCTTGTACAAAGAACCCGCATGGTCAGGGGGCTTTTCAACCAACTCACAAAAGAAATTAATAGAGCATGGAATCAAGGCAAGGGAAAAGAAGAGTCATAAAACAGTGGGAAAAACAGGCCTTGTAACAAGTGTCAGAAGTGATGAAGCTCAAGATGAGCTGAGGCTTTTGAGGGAAGCCAAGGTATGCTTATTTATAAAGCCATATTGGGTGAAAGAGGAGACTCCAAGAAGAGAAGCCCTCTGCTTGGGGTGGGCAGGATATGATGGGTGTGATACCTGAAGAATGAGCTGGTCAATTCTAATTTTTGTTTTCTCTATCAAAGACAAAGATCTTTTGAACTGGAAATGCCAAAACAAAAATGACCAGTCAGGAGACACTCTGCCCAGATAAAGTATATCCCTTGAGTGTTGGCAGATAAGATTGCTGAGCACTGCTGGAGATAATTTGAAAGATATTGAAAATAGGAGAGACACTACAAAATTGAAAGGCAAATGTCCTGATTTTCAAAAAGAGAACAGGGATCTGGAAATGATAGGCCAGTGAGTTTGACTTTGATGCCTGAGAAAATTCTAGATTGTTAAGGAAATGTTTGGTGACATTTAAAAAGGGAAACAGTTACGATAACCAATGGAACCATAATTCCATTGAAAATGGGTTGTCCTAGATTAACCTCAATTTCTTTTTGACAGGATTACTGAAATTGGTAGGTGAGGAGAATGTTATGGTAGGTAATTTTATCTAGATTTTAGGAAAATTTTTGATAAAATATCTCAGAAGCTGGAAAGAAAAATTAGACAATAATACATTATACAAATTCAAAATTTGTTGAATGGTCAGACTTAGTAGTTAATGGTTTAACGTTGATGTGATATGTCTCATGAAGTACTCTGGGAATCTGCCTGGCCCTGTGATGGTTTTTTTTTTTTTTTTTCCAATAACCTGGATAAAGGCGTAGATGTCTGGGTGTGCTTATGACATAAATCTGGAAGGGATGACTATCATGCTGGATGATATTCAAGATCTAAAAAGTTCTTGACGGGCCATTGGGCTATCCTTAATAAATTCAATAGGGAGAAATGTTAACTCTTGTACCTGGGTTGCCTCACAAGTAGAAGATGAGGGGAAGCATGGTTAGATAGCACTTCTGAACAGGATCTGGTTGCTTGGTGGACTGCAAGTTCATTATGATTCAGCAGTGTAATGTGACCGCCAAACACTAATGTAATTTTGAGCTACATTAAGAGGGCCCTATCTTCAAGGAATAAGAACGTGATAGTTCCACTGTCCTCATCAGATTCCATTTGGAGTACTGTCTTCAATTTTGGGGGTCATAGTTTAAAATAGGCTGGAATTTAAAAATAAGCTGGAGGGTCTGCAGAGGAGGAAAACCAGCATAGCAAAGGGCCTTGTGTCTATTATGTAAGGATCAATTGAAGGAAGTGAGAATACTTACCTCGTAGAGGAGGCGACCCAAGGCCATGTTCAAGTATTTGAAGGGCTGTCATTTGGTGAAGGAATTAGATGTGTTCTGTTAAATACCACTGGCAGAACCAAGAGCAGTGGTGGAAGGTGCATAGGGACCAGTTTGGGAAAACTTCCTCATAGATAGAACTTTTTTTTAAAAATTAATTTATTTTGAATTATCATCAGTCACTTCCATACGCTTTTGAATTTTAAATTTTCTCCTCCTACCTCCGCACGATGGCGTGCAATCTAATACAGGCTCTACATATACATTCTGTTAAACATATTTTCACATTAGTCATGTTGTAAAAAAGAATTAGAACCAATAGGAGCAACCAGAAGAAACAAAACAAAACAGAAGAGGAAAAAAAAAGAGCAAATAGTATGCTTCAATCTGCATTCAAACTCCTTAGTTCTTTCTCTGGATGTGGATAGCATTTTCCATCATGAGACTCTTGGAGATGTCTTAGATCCTTGCATTGCTGAGAAGAACTAAGTCTATCAAAGTTAGTCACTGCCCAATGTGGCTGTTACTGTGTATAATGTTCTTCTGGTTCTGTTCACTTCAGTCAGCATCAGTCCATACAAGTCTTTCCAGGTTTTCTGAAGCTGTCCAGCTCACCAATTCTTATAGCACAATAGTATTCCATTACATTCATATGCCACAGTATGTTTAGCCCTTCCTCAATTGATGGGTGTCCCCTCAATTTCCAGTTCTTTGCCGCCACGGAAAGAGCTGCTACAAGTATTTTTGTGCTTGTGGGTCCTTTTCCCATTTTTATGATCTCTTTGGGATACAGACCTAGAAACCCTATTGCTGGGTTAAAGGGTATGCACATTTTTGTAGCCCTTTCGGCATAGTTCCAAATTGTTCTCCAAAACGGTCGAGTTCACAACTTCAACAATGCATTAGTGTTTCAATTTTCCCACATCTCCAACATTTATCATTTTCCCGTTTTGTCATGTTAGTCGATCTAAGTGTGATGTGATACCTCACAGTTGTTTTGATTTGTATCTCTGTAATCAATAGTGATTTAGAACACTTTTTCATAAGACTATAGATAGCTTTAATTTCTTCAACAGATAGAAATTTTAAAGTGGAATGAGATGCCATGATGATCTCCCTTTCTTTTGGAAGTCTTCAAGCAGAACTTAGATGAGAAGCGTTAGTATTCCTCTGCTTGGATAGATCAGTTTGCCTTCTTTTTGTATATGGGTTGGACTGGTTGGCCACTAGTTAGTTTCTTTCAACTCTCAAGTTCTGTGATTCTGGATGAAAGAAAGACAATATCAAATGAAAGTTTTTTTTTTTAATGGTATTTGTGGATATTTGTAGTTAGCAGAAAAAGAGCCAGTAAATGGAGAGAGCAAATTAGAAAGGGATTGGTTGATTGCAGAGGAAAGGATCCTAGCGCACAAGTAGAGAGTTTGGCCTTGGTGGGAAGGATGATGAGAGAAAATCAGAGATGAGAGCAAAACAAAGAGGAAGCTCATTGCAAATAGCTACGAGGGAAGAGGCAGAAAGTGTAGAGAGGTAGGGAATGTAGGAGGTTTGAGGAGAAAGGAAAAGGGTTGTTTATTTAATAAGTATTTATTAAGACAGCCTTTGCCCTCAAGGAGATTACATTCAAATTGAGGAAGACAATACATACAAAGAAAACTGAAAAACAGGAGTAGGATGGAGAAAAGGAGGTATGTATACCTCCTTCAGGTGGAGCTTGATGGTGTCGGGGCATGGTGGCTGCCTCTGGGAGTACGGGACAGCTGGTCTGGGGCCTTCTGCAAGACAGATTCCATGAAGAACTTGAACCAGTGGCAAAAGGGGTTCTCAGAAGCAGAGTCATGAGGCAGTTGAAGTATGGGCTACTTTGAGTCCCTAATGGAGAGTATGATATAAAGTCTGTTAGGAGATTGCCTTGTGACAGTGAGGGCCCATTGAATTAGATAACAGATTTTTGGTGGATCCAGTCAGCTAGCATAGTTAAGTGACTTCAAGTGCTAGTCAGCAACTGCATGTGAATATAAGCAGAGAAAATGGCAAGATGAGGGGATATTCACAATTGGAAGAATGAATAGAATGCAGGGGATTTGGGTCAAGAGAACAACATAGGTCAAAATTGGGAAAGAAGGAAAATTAAACCAGACTTGGGATTATGGTTTAGGGGAATGAGCACCTTTTAGTGAATGAAGGTTACAGGGAGACTGAAGAGTTAAGTTTAGGACGAGTAAGACATAAGGAGAGGGAGTTATGATCAATTATGTCCCATTACATAATTGGATATTGGGATTTTTTTCCAGCGTCTTGGACAACATGTATGTTTGTGCTTTTTATGTCTTCGTTTTCTTCCTCCCTTCCTTTAGCAGCTGCCCCTGACAAGAATGCTAAAAATAACTGGCAGACGACATATATGGGAGGACTTAGAACATGACACAGTTGGTTTCTCTAGGGTGCCACTTTGGGCTTCTAGGAAATGGAGCTGGGAGGAGTCAGTGAGATTTGTCATGGACTTTTATTTTTAGTGAGTTGGTACTGCATGCTTGAAGTCATCTACTTAGTATGTAGCATTTGCATAACACTTGTGTCTGCTCAGAGTATTTTTAGGTATTCCTTGCCAGACCTTTAAGGTGTTAGGTTTTATAGACAGGCACACTTCTGGTACTGAATAGCAATACATCATGCGGGGAAGTTCACTCAACTGCAGAACCTCGGTTTATTTACTGTCTGTAAAATGGGGTTACTAATCCCATGAGTAGCATGTTCCTTACAGAGTTGCTGTGGAGATTCATGGAGCTCATGGAAAGCAGCTTTGTGGATCTTATCTTTATAATTGCCAGGTTTATTCTTATCATTGCTTATGGTCATGCAGGAAATTAGTTGAACCTGTTCTATAATACTTGGTCATGTTCTGAGCTTGTTGTCTTTACCTGCTGCAGTCAGTCTGGCCTTTGTAATGTGTCTGACTAAAAAAACAGATCGCCCCTAGAGTGTTAGAAATTAGAAGTTGTACCTTGCAAGCTGTTTGTAAACTTACTTTGCAGCACCAAGAATTGATAGCTTGCATTTCTCTGCCCTTCTGCTTTCTTGGCACTGACGCCATAGTATCCCTAGTAGCCTTGAGGTATGCTATATGTTTTAGAATTTGATGTTCAGAAAAAACAAGATCGTTTGTTCCCTGTTTAACACTTGTTAGGTGTGGGGTAGCTAGGTGGTGCAGCTGATAGCATGCCAGGCTTAGAGTCAGAAAGACTTATCTTCATGAGTTCAAATCTGGCCTTGTATACTTACTAGCTGGGCAAGCAACTTAACCCTATTTGCTTCAGTTTCCTCATCTGTAAAATGAGCTGGAGAAGGAAATGGCAAACTACTCCAGTACCTTTGCCAAGAAAACCCCAAATAGGGTCACAAAGAGTTGGACATGACTGAAAAATGACTGAACAGCAACAAGTATACGCAAACACCAGAGGGAGGGGGGCATGCAGGAGTTGTGTGCTGTGCCTCAAATCTCAGAGATGGGAAAAGGATGTCAGGGATAACTTAATTAAGCCTGTACCCAAATGTAAAATTATCTTAGCCTCTACAAATAATCATCTGTGATGGAAAATTGACTTGTTCTTCTTCTGGATGTGTTCAAATTCTCTCACATAATTTATGTTATAGAGCTGCCTATACAGAGTATCAGTTGTTAAACCTGGAGTCCAGAGATCGAGTTTGACACTTGAGTGACTTGCTGAGTGTCCCACAACTAGTGCCCTAATTTTCCCCTTCCATAAAATGGGAATAATCCTAAATGACCTACCAGCCTTACCAAGCTATGGTCAGGCAGGCATTTCATAATCCTTTAAGTGTTATATAAATATAAGTTGTTATAGACACATTGGCATAGCACCGAGGAAAGTCCAGCATGGTGTTTTATACATCAGAGTTAAGCATGCTATGTGTCAAGGCACATTTAGGTGCTGACATTAGAATGCTGGCTATGTCATCTTGTGAGTAGGGAAATGTGGGTTAGAAATCTTAAATAATTAGTATTTAAGAGAAGTCTGTGTACTGTGAAATATTTTGTAGAGGGAGAAGAAATCTTTTTCCTTTGGGGTTTCAGGAATGGTTCATGAAAGATATTATCTGAGTCAGACCTTGAGAAGCAAGTAAAGAATGGATAAAAAGAGATGGGTAGGTTAAAGAAAGAACAGTCCATTGCTGAAGATAAGACAGACAGTTGGAGCAAAAGAAAGCAGAGACTAATTGGATGCAGAGAGTATTCCAAAAGTCTTGGTGCTGTTTTAAGCTCAATTTGTGGGACATTCTGTATTACATGAGAAAGGAAGAATTGGACAAGGGCAGAGGGGAAGAGGAGTTCAGTTTTGGACACTTTGCGACACTAATAGGACATCCTATACTGGAAAAAATAGGACTGGAGAAATTCACATTATAATGTGTTTTATCATGATGAACAACAGTCTTGCAAGTTAGGAGCATTTCAGCTCCTACCATCTAAAGTAGTGGACCAAAATAGGAGAAAGGAACATTGGTAGAAGAAGTGGGAGCTTTTTATACCAATGAAATGACCAGGTCTTCCCCACCTTTCCCCACCTCCCAAAATAATTCAGGGTAATTATGAAAATCTAGTGAGTTTCTTAAAACTAAAAGTGCTAAATACATGTCAGCTGTCAGGGGAGAGGTATGGTTTTTTTTTTCCTTTTCTTTCACATTCCTGAATAATTTTAAGTGTTATATACCTATTATGTGCTGGACTGCTAAGTGTGGGATAAAGTCCTCAAGGAGCTTACCATTTTTTATCAAGGGAAACAACATGCACATTTTTTTAACATTTATTTAAAAATTTTGAGTTATAAATTCTGTCTTTGTCTCTAGCCCCTCCCTCAAACCACTAAGAAGGCAAGAAATATGATGCCCATTATACATGTGAAGTCACTCAAAACATTTTTGCATTAGCCATGTTGTTTAAAAAAAAAAAAAAAAAGAAAAGAAAAGAAAAAACCAAACAAAATAAAGAAAGTGAAAGAAATAAGTTTCAATCTGTACTCAGAGATCATTGGTTCTCTCTTTGAGAGGTGGGTAGCATTTTTCATGAGTCCTTTGGAATTATCATGGATCATTCCATTAAAATATTGCTGTTTACTGTGGACCTTGTTCTCTTGGTTCTGCTCACTTCACTCATACTTTTTGTAAAATGCAAAATGAAAATGTGAATACTTCAGAGCACTAATACCTGGGGAGATCACTAAAGTCTTATGTAGAAAGTAATAGTTGAAACTGAGCCTTAATGGATGCTAGTGATTCTGAGAGGCAGAGGTTATGAGTAAGTGTATCCTAAACATGGGGAATAACTTAAGTATACAAAGGCATAGAGATGGTAGATATGAAGAGAGAGAGAGTGTGTGCGTGTGTGTGTGTGTGTGTGTGTGTGTGTACACACACGCATACACATACAAAACCTCTTTTAGTAGAGGAAGGAGACAGGGAGACAGCAAAGAGGCCAAGTTTGGCTAGACCATAGAGAATGTGTGAAAGAGAGTAGTGTTTAATAAGGCTGGAAGAAAGCAGGTTGAAGGCAGTTTATGAAAGTTCTAAATGCCAAATGGAGGAGTTAGCATTTGACCCGGGAGTTAATTGGAAACCCACAAGAATTTTACCAAGAATCTGAAGAGATGAGGGGGTGGGGTAATCTATCTTCTTTAGGAAGAAATAGCTTACTTAAACCAGCAATATTTGTTTGGGATCAAGGAATAAGAGAGATGCATCATACAAGGCAGGGAAGCCAATTTAATTACTGGTTTAGTCTTGAATGAGTGTCACATTTTCCCCAAATCTGACTAATGTAAAACTTTTTACCCTTCCGAGGAAATCTTAGCATGGTATAGCGGAAAATGCATTGACTCTGAGGTTGGAGGACCTAGATTTAAATTCTGCATCTGCCGTTTGATTTTGGTGAAGTCATTCCATCATCTTGGATTTCTCTTTACTCATTCATATGTAAAATGAGGGATGGACCAGGTGGTCTTTGAGGCTCCTTCCTGCTCTAGCGCTATGAGCCTGTTTTCTCAATACAACAAATGATTGTAGGATCGTATTGATAGGAGCTGAGAAGAATGAAATAACACTCGTATTTGAAACTTGTCTAGTTGAGCCATCTTCATCCTGTAGGGAAGTCTCAACTTCAGTGTGTACCTCCATCCTTTTCTCTTGAGTACCAGGTCATATTTTATAAGGTTGAGGATACAGTCTTGAAATGAGTTATTTTATAAGTACAATGCTGTACAAATCTTGTTTGACACTTTGGGATAAAGCAAGAGATACTTCTAGTGTAATTAGATAGTTGGGCAATATTTTTTTCTTGGCATGTAACTTTAGAATGTTTTCCCTCTTTTTTCCTCTGCCTGTCCAGTAGTTTTACTATTTTATTGCTAACAGTAATAGCTTTACAAGTTGGTCATTGACCTTAAGATAGTTTGCGTTCTTTTATATTGTAACTATAACTTTGAATCCTGCAGTCTAGGGAAGGCACTGCCAGTCTCTGCTAGTCTTGATGTTTATCTTGACTTTCCTATTTGTGTCCCTTTAGGGTGGTGAGATGGGGGAGATGAAGGATGGACTCTCAGAAGGAACACAACTTCAGTCATCTTCAGCACATCGGAATCCCAATTATCGTCCACGATATCGAAGGTAACGATGATCATCCATCTGGTCTTAGAATGGAGGGGCAAGAGAGAATTGTGGGATTGTTTTGTGTGACTTAATTACATTAGAGGGCAAATATTGCTCCATCTTTCCAAATGAAAATTAAGGGTATGTATAAGTACCTCGGGCTCCTGATGTCTCATTTTATCTTTCTTTGTGATGTACAGTTGTGTACTGTAGGAACGCAGATGGTGCCAGAGTACCTGGGTTGCTGAGTTTTGGAGGATCTTGTCCTTGTAACATGGGAGAAAAATAGTATATCACTCTACCATTTCCAAAGTAATTAAAAAAAAAAAGATTACATTGGGAGATTGATTAGCCACATTTCAGGTTTTCTCCACAGGTAATGATTAAAACCCATGTATACCTGCATACATTTCGTTGCTGTCATCTTTGGCTCTTTATGGAGGATCTCCTCTATTGTACTGAAGGCCTACTCTGGAAATGTTTGTGTTTGGATGTCAGTGAAGAAGGGGGATTGTCCTGCTGTCTGAGCAGTCTTTTCTAGGCCCTCATATCCTGGATGATATGTAGTAATTGTGGTGCTTGATATTTCCCCAGCACTTTCGTATTTGCATGTTTTCATGGTTTAAGCCCATGATTTCATTTGTGCCTCACAACAGTCAGGTTGAAGTGAGGCACTAATAGATCCTATTATTACTTCTATTTTATAAACAAGAAAACTTGGGCTTAGAGAGGTCAAATCCAGGTCTCTCTGACCTCAAGTCCAGCACTTGTTAATGATACCAGGCTGCCTACCAAGTCATTGCTTCTAATGTAGTCTGCAAACACGTATTGTATTAGATTTCCTTTTTATTGATAGCTTTTGGTTTTCCTGTCACCTGTGTTTCCCCCTGTATTTCCCTCCCCTCTCCCAAATCCTTATAACAAGTAACTTAAGAAACAAGAGGAAGAAGAGAAAGTATTTATTTTTTCTTTTTGGTCACCTGCAATTTTGGCTCCTCTGAGATCACAGTGTTTCATCATTAGCATCATGGAAAGAATATTGGTATTGAAAAAATGAGCCTTATTGTCAAGATTATGCCATGAAGTTGGATGGGCAGCCTGTTGAGTTAGTATAACTTATATTTGGAGATTTCAGTCTACTTTGCATACACTGCCTAATTCTGCAAAGGGGTGGGAGTAGAGGTGGAGGCCCAGTTCCCACAGACTTCTGTAACCTAATTATACAGCTGTCCAAGGTAGAACTGTGAGTGGCTAATGCTGGTCATTTGAGTGTCTCAGTCAAGTCACAACTGTCCCAGCAAGTTTAAAAAAAAAACAAAAACAAAAAAACCAGAACAACTTTCCCATATTTTAAACTTTTCTTTCAATTGCTGCCGTTTTTTTTTTTTAACGTTCAGATTTTTAACCCCCCCCCATTCTGTAACCCCATTGCCCTTATTTTTCTTTATAATCATAATGCAATCCTTTGCAGGGGCCCTTCTCGGCCACGCCCTGTCCCAGCTATTGGAGAGGCAGAAGACAAGGAAAACCAGCATGGGGCCAACGGCCCACAACAGCCGTCAGCTCGTCGTGGTTACCGGCGCCCGTATAACTATCGTCGCCGACCTCGTCCTCCAAATGCTTCTTCACAAGATGGCAAAGAGGTAATGCAGGCTTTGGAGAAGTAAGAAAGATGGTTTTTAGTTCAGTTAGGCCTGGACACTGGAGATGCAAACGTCTGGTTTTAAGTCTGTGATACAGTGGGGGGAAAAAGCAGTCTTTTTAATTAGAATCCTGCCTCTGTTGCTTACTGCCAACAAATAAATTGTCTAACCTTGGGCAAATCATTCTGACCTGGGCCTCAGTTTCTTTTGTAAACTGAGCCAGTTGGATACTCCTGGAAGAGACCAGAAGTGTCTTTCACCTCTTACCTTTCAAGTAACTACCCTGTGCAGAGACTCCTTTACATATTCAAATGACAGATTAGATTGTGATCTGTTCTGAAGATGTAAACTTGTTAAATGGGAAGCTTAAAGGAATTTGAAGAAGATGTCAAGTGTATCTAAACACAAACCCCATAGAAGCTTTTCCTGCTGAAGAGCAGTTGCAATGTTGGTGTCACAGGGACAGAAAGACTGTGCTTTTAAATTCAATTGAAATGTGTTCCCTCTGCAATGAAGATTAGAAAGGGGCTATTATGTTCTTCATTCTCATTTGAACCTTACAACGTCCTTTGAAATTCATGACTTCTAGTACCTTGCCACGTGGTAATTAATAAATTCAATAGGATCAAAAGATGGAAAGGAACATTAGAGATTATGTAGTCCACCACCACCTTCCCTTTAAAAAAAATGGATATCTTGCTTTTTTTTTTTTTTAAATCCTCACAGCTTCTAAAGAGCTAAAAATAAGCATCACACAAAGGTAGTGGAAAGTTAAATGGGTAGGATGGGATATTAGCAGCCTTTAGCATATAACCAACTAGGAACTCTTAGGAACAGAAATAAAGGATGTGGTGAGTGAGGAATGAGAGGCAGACGGCTAGAGCTCTCTACTGATGTGCTTAAGATGTCAGAAAAAAGGGAAGAAAATCTTTGGCACATTGGGTGGAGTCTCTATGGCTCAGGAAAGGCAGGCATGGATGGGAAGCAGTCTGTATCATAAGAACTCCTGAGTCAATGAGATTCCAGATCTATCTTATTATTTGAGTGATAGTCAAAAGAAAGCTTGGGAATTTGGATATGTGGATTTTCATTTGAACTTTCTCATAATTTGCCCAAATTTGCTGGGCCCCTCAGAAACTGGCCAGTAAGACAGAGTGTCACAGGAAATAATAGTTAGCATTTTATATAATGCTTTAAAGGTTGAGAAACACTGTATATGTGTGAACTCTTTGTATCCTCCCAGCAGCCTTGTGAGGTGAGTGCTCTTAGCTTCATTTTACAGATGAGAGAGCTTAAGTGACTTGCTAGGGGTCACACAAGCTAGTAAGTATCCGAGGCAGGATTTCAACTTGGGTTTTCTGATTTCAAAAGCTTAACAGTCTAATTTTGTCTTTTTCTCCCTCTTTATTTTCCATTCTTATAAGAGATGACTGTATTGATATGATTTAACCATTTCAGCAGTATTTTCCCTCATTGATCGTTGGAAAAGGATCTCACAATTTAACATACCAGCAAACCGGTTTTTTGATGGTCCAGAACTCTTTCACACACACACAAAACCTCTTAATCTATAAAAGAATGACTAGGCTTATCTTTTACAACTGGAGTTGTAACTAGGAATTTTTGTACCCTAAACGATACTGGGGTCAAACATAAGAAAGGCAACCACATTTGGGGTGGAGGAACCATCCTGAAGAAAGGGTCTGGAGACAGACCCAGATACTGCTGATCAGGAGGTAGCCCCAATATCACTCCTAAGCAAATTATGCCCAAGCTACAAAGCTTCCTATTTAAGTTCTTGATAACTAGGTGTTGAGGTCAGTTCATGCTTGGCATCCAAGAAGTCTTAACTATTTGGGAGGGTGCCCTGTCCTAGTATGCCATATATTAACTCTTATACCGAACAGATTTTTTTGGGGGGCTGGGGGTGGGCAGGGGAAACAGGTGGCTGAAAGAAGTTTTTTGAAGCAAACACCGCCAAAAAAATCAATAATATCATGTAAGGTGTTGTCTGGTCCAACAAAGGGTGCTGAAATTGGATTAAGAGGGCCTGAGTTTTAATTTTGTCTCTCACTACCCTGGTGACTGCCGACCCATCTAGTGGCCTTGCTGAGGACTGCCCTTCCCCCTCCCCTCTTTTTTTCTTTGGAGAAATAAATTTTCCACTGTGGAGCAAATTTTTTAGCCTGTGGGTAATTGCTAAAGGCTGATATTGTCCTTTGTGTTTGACAGATCTATTTAGATAGAATACATTTGCTTTTCAGATATCTGTCTCACTTTTTAAAAAGCATTTCCTTTGTTAAGGCAACAAATCTGACCTGATATCCCCATCTTTTCTCCCAAGGTGGCTGAAGCACCAACTGAAAACCCTGCTCCAACCACTCAGCAGACCAGTGCTGAGTGAGGTCTGGCTCTCTATAGGCACCTTTACCATTACAGGTAAAAAATAAAACCAGGAAATGCCCTGTTCTGGTTTCCTCTGACTGTTCTCAAGTGTGTAATCCTTCTCTTACAAATTGAATCTAGTTGGAGTTCTAGCCTGAACTCTTGGTTTTGGGATAGTACAGATGTTAATGAGGGGAGAATATTTAACTGTTTGAATTTCTTAGTGCTAGTTAAGGGGGAATTACAAAAATAATGTTATGACTGTTGCTGTAAGCTGAATTTGCCCATTTTCAGAATACCATTTATGACAGCCAATGTTCTTTACTCTTCTGACCCCTAGTGGCCAATTATATAGTTAACCTAATCCTTAAGTAGAAGGAAGAGGAAATCTTATAATTTTTTTTAAGTACTCCCCAATGCAGGCAGTCAGCTAGCATTTTTAAAGTAGCTTTTCTGTACCCAGCCCTGCAGAACAGTGGTGTAACTTTGGCCAGTTTGGACACAGCCTGCCGTTTGCCTTAAGCTGCGCAGAAGGCTTCTTTTGTAGGTGATAAAATTGCCCTTTTTGGGTGAGGAGGCAGAAGGACAACTCATTTGTTTATTGTGTTTCTGGCTCTACCATAGCTTTCACCATAAAATGGGGAACTATAGTGAAACTCAAGTCACTGGATTTTTTTTGCCTTTTAAATTCATAATAAAATTGTTTTGAATGTGATATATTATGCTTTGAATTATACCATAGACTTTTCCCCTTATGTTTTCAAAGTTGCATTATAAATTGGTTTTCTTACTAGCTGAAAATTTGTTAGAGGAACTTTTCCAACTCTGGGTAGTAAACAATTTCTTCATTGACTCTTAGAAGAAAGCCATTTCCAAGGGAGATGGCTACTGATCTTTGTAAATACACTTTGAGCAGCAGCTTTTTTTTTTTTTTTCCTTTTTGGTGAGGTGATCAGGGTTAAGTGACTTGCTCAGGGTCATGCAGCTAGTAAGTCCATCACCTAGCTGCCTCCCCCCCTTTTTAAAGTAGGAATAGTTTTTAAGAATGGTTTTTTTAAAAGTAGGAATAGATTTCAAATAGATTTAAGTAGGAATAGTTTAAATAGCTTTTTATGCTTCAAATGATGTATGCATTTTTATATTTTCAGAGTACTTGACTCTTGTACTTTTGAGTTCAGCTATTTGAACTTTGACTCTGTTTACTTTACAGGTGTACTAAAACAACAGCAAAAAAAAAAAATGAAACTTTAAACACTTTACCAACACCAAAGAAACATTCAAGCAATAAAATGGAAGACTAAACTAACCAGGATTTTTGAGATCAAAACTTTTTTATTCTTAAATTAAAAACATGAAAAAAACAAAACAAAACACATCCTTACCAGCAAGCTGAGATCCCAGGAACGTCTGCACAAAAGATAATAGAAAGAAAAGGGACAACCTCCTCAATTTCAGCAGCAACTGTGATTTTTTCTGGCTTTACCATTTTGCTATTATGAATTGAAAGAAAAAATTTTGGCACCAACTCTAAAGGGAAGGATCCCAACCAAAGAAATTATAGTTAATGCTTTGTTTTTATTTTTATTTTTATGCTGGTGCTAAACCTTTACAGGTGTGGTTTAATTTTTTTCTTTTGCCAATCCTGTATTCTCAGGATGTGGGGAGGAGAAATTTCCTGCTTTATATTATATGACAACTATTGGAAAATGTGCAGCATGAGTGACCTTACTCAGAAATAAAATTTCACTCTCTGAGGGAAAAAGAAATCTAGCTTCGGTGTAGTTCTTTTGTGTTGGATCTCTGTTCTGTTCCTGAATTCTGTATACTTTTGAGGTGCAACACCATACCTGTGTTACTCATATGGGATATAGGCAAATAAAGAGAAACTAGTGAGGTGCCTTTGGAAAATATTGAGGGAGCAGTGTCATTCAATCTCCATTTAACCAGCTTGGAATCCTACTTTGATCGTGATCTGTGAATCTTGGTTGATGAATCCTAAATCAGTGAGATGAGATGAGTAATTCTAGTCTTCAGAGAATGTCAGACCATCCAAGATTCATTAATCCAGAAGAAAGATTCTCATAAAGAGCTGGCTTCTCTGTGGTATGTGTCTAGTTCAGGATTTTAAGCCAGAGATTAAGAGGAATGAATAGCTGTACTAAACTTCAAGATTTTGGGGAAATATAAGGCATTTTATGAATCTTCAAATAGGAACTACCCTGGTAATCTTGGGTAAGTCACAAATTCCTTGGCTTGATTTGTGTTTGGAATTTGTCAAGCTTTTTGGTGATAACCCAGTCATAATGAACTCATAGTTAATTACACCCTAGGGTTGAGAAATTGAAGGAGACAAGGAAAAATTTCATAAATCAAAGAAAAGTAGTTTGAAGGAAAATAAGGTAGCTATCTAGTCCAATCCCTTCGTTTTATAGATAAGACCTAGAGATTTTAAGTGACATGGACAATGTGACAGTGAGAAACAGGCAAAGTTTTAACCCAAATTCACTGATTCCAAATCCAGAGTGCTTCCCATACTGCTTCTGTGTGGGTGAAATGTTCCTTGGCCTTTTCAGTCTTTTACAGTATTTAAAAATGTGATGCCTTGGGTGGCCCTAAGTTAAAGACCCTGAAGAAAGGCAGTGATGTGGATTTATCTTCATTTTTTTCTTTTTAAATACTTCACTCTTGTCTTAGATTTTCCTGATACTATAAGTCTTTTTTTAATACTATTTTATTTTTCCCAATTACATATAAAAACAATTTAACATTCATTTTAAAAAATTGAGTTCCCAATTATCTCCTTTCCTCATGTATGTCTTCCCCTCCCTGAAATGGTAAGCAATTTTATATGTTATACATGTGTAATCATGCAAAACATTTCCATATTAGTGATGTTGTGAGAGAAGACAGACAAAAAAACCCACACACAAAAAAGTGAAAAATAGTCTGCTTCTATCTGAATTCAGACTCCATCAGTTCTTTTCTCTGGAGGTGGATAGCACTTCTCATCATGAGACCTTTGAGATTGTCTTGGATCATTGTATTGCTTGAGAATAACTAACTCATCCTCAGATGATCATCACATAGTATTGCTGTTACTGTACAATGTGTAGATCTCCTGGTGCTGTTCACTGAATTTTGCATGAGTTCCTGTAAGTCTCTCTAGGCAAGTGCATGTATCTGGGTGAAAGTATTATTCTTTGATAGCTCTGTGGCATGTTTCATGTGAACCTGATATTCCAAAAAGCAAAAATGTTGCAATTGTTACTAGCAAACCAACAATAACACTGCAAAAGTTGGAGTGGACTGAGTTCATACTCAGCAAGGATCAAACAACTCATTTGCTTAGTGTCAGGTGGAAAACAAGTTTATTAAAATAGGCTATAGATATTAAACCAACTGTTGTCGGCTCCTGAGGATGTTGCTGGGGCTACCAAGTGACAAAATCAGATGAGTTAGGAGGGACCTTACAGAACATCTAATTCAAATTCCATTTTACAAATGGGGAAACCTAAGAATTGGAAATTTAATTTTTGTTGTTCACTTGTTTTAGTCATGCCTGACTCTTCATGACCCCATTTGTGGTTTTCTTGGCAGAGACATTGGAGTAGTTTGCTATGTCTTTCTCCAGCTCATTTTGTAGATGAGGAACTGAGACAAATAAGGTTAAGTGATTTGCCCAGGGCCACCCAGCTAGTGTCTGAGGCCAGATGCATTGTGTTCGCTGAGCTACCTAGCTGCCTCTACATGATATACTCATTATACAGAGGCAGTTGTGGCTCAGTGGATAGAATTACATAGAATTACAAATTACATAGGGTGGTGATTAGTGGTAGAAATAACACTTGAACCCAGGTCTTTTGACATAAGCTGAACCATTTCCTCATAGCAATCTAGTTTTATTAAAACTTTTTACTTCATAGTTCTCTTCTTTCAAGGGGAAATTATGGTTGGTTTCATGGATGGATATGTATTGTTTTACTTAATCATCCCTAGAAAGCAGGTTGTTAAAGCAATTGAGATAGGGCCAGTCCCCACCATTCTTGCGTAAGAATGTTGGCTGGAAGCACTAACTGGCCATCGGGGGGAGCCACTGTATTGTAGTACATCCACTTTCCCTCCACACCTTGTGCCTATGAAACCGTCAAGTTAGCACCTGGGTGGTGTTGTTTGCCTCTCCTAGCCCATGGGAGGTTAATAAAGTCAATGATACTGCATTACTAGAGAATTTGGGAAAATTTAGAGATTCTAAGATGGAATTGAGTGTATATGGTTCTTTTAATCCTGTGTTGACCAGAGGGAGACTAATTGCATATACTCTATCAAATTGATCATCTCAGATATCTCTTTCTACTACTGCTGCCATCATCCTACTTCAGGTCCACGGTGATGCTTTAAGGATTTTCCAGTACCCCCCCCCTTTTTTTGTGAGGCCATCGGGGTTAAGTGACTTGCCCAAGGTCACACGTTTCAAGTGTTTGGTCTGATGCCAGATTTGAACTCTGGTCTTCCTAACTTCAGCGCTGGTGCTCTATCCACTGTGCCACCTAGCTGCCCCCCCCCTTTTTTTACACACCACAGCCTCTTGCCAATGTGCTTCCTCTCACCTGATCCATGGAACCTTTCCTTGGAATAACAAAAATTAGTTTAGCAAAATCAACAGAGAGATCTTGTCCCACAGTCAATGCAACATTTTTCACCCATGATCCTCCATTTCTCTACTTGGAGGAGGCAACTATGTTTCATCATCTAACCTCTGGAACCATGATTGGTCATTGCATTTAATGTGAGTTTTTTAGTATTGTTTTCCTTTATATTATGTTACAATTTGTTCAACTATTCCCCAATTAATGGAAGCTTACTTTGTTTCAGTTCTTTTCTGCTACAAGAAGTTATTGCTACGAATATTTTTGTATATATGGGACCTTCCAGGCTTTGATCTCCTTGGGAGATACTGTATGTATAGCCATACAATCACTGAGTGAAAGGGTATGAGTATTTTGTGGGTTTTTTTTTTTTAGGTATAGTTCCAGATTGCTTTCCAGAATGGTTACATAACAGTATGTTAGTGTACTTGTTATCTTTTATCATGTTTAATAACTGAATGGGTATAAGGTGAAACCTAAACATCATTTAAATTTTTCTTATTAGTAATTTGGAATTTTTTGGTATGGCCGTTCATATTTCTTCTTGTGAAAATTTTATTCATATCCTTTGACTAGTGGGGAAAAAAACAGTTTTATATATTTGTGTCAATTCCATATATATTATGTATAAATGCCTTTTATCAGAGATCTTTGAGGCAAAAACTTCCCCTATTTAACAACTTGTTTTTATATTAGCTGAATTGATTTTATTTGTACAGAAACTTAAATATTTTATATAGCAAATTGTTCATTTTAGCTTTTGTGATATTCTCTATTTTGTAAGCGTTCTCCCCCACCTGTAGTTGCAAAAGCAACTTCCTTATGCTCTCCTCTAGGCCTAGGAATGGTATTACTGGTGTCAAAAAGTATGCACAGTGTATGTATGCAATCTTTTCAAATAGTTCCAAATTTCTTTCCAAAATAGACCAATTATAGCTTTACCAATAGAGCATTGGTGTGCCTGTTTACCCATAGTCCTTTCAACAATTAACCACTTTTTTTCATCATCTGTGCTAATCTGATTCATGTTTGATCCTAGAGGTAATAGGAAGCCAGTAGAATTCACTGAATAGGGGAGTAAAAAGTTCAGACTTACACTATAAGAAAATCATTTTGGTGGTTGTGTAGCAGATATTTTGGAGTGATTCTTCCTTGGTGGAGAGAGGGGAGAAATGGGAAATTTTTCTCTGAATATTACATTTTTAATAGTTTCAGCTGGATATCAATAGTTCGTATTTATTCTTTGGAAAACTGTCATTTTATTATGTTTCTATTGGAGAATGATGTGGTCTCATATGTTAATTTATATATTATATATTTTATAATACAATTTATATCAAATATATTATAATTTATGTTTATATATTATTATATTATATATTTGGACCAATTACTTATAGATTTTGAATGATTCAACTGACATTTTGCTGCTTCATAGTTCTCTTCATCTATTGTGTTGTAATCAACCTTTTTATACTTTGTTCACTTTCCATTATTTCACACACATTTCTCTACTCCCTTTTTACTTCTTTTGTCTTTTCTGGAGCTATATTCCATTTATGAGTAGCATCCTCCAAGGCTGCTTCTACTGATATTCTCAGCTACTAGTGCCTTTCCTTCCTACTCCCATTATCTTGGATCTATTTTGTATATACCTAAAGATGTATATGTTGTCTCTCCTCATTAGATTATAAGTTTATCCAGGATAGGAACTTTTTCACTTTTGCCTTTGAATCTCCTAGCACACAGCAAAGCATGTCAGGTGCTTAATAAACACTTGTTCATTGATAGAGAAATAGATTCCACCAGGTCTCAGTGATACCAATGAGATCAAATTTGCCTTCATGTTTTAGAATTTGTGGTTTACCTTTCTTATCATCCATACTCTGTGTATTTGTGTACATACAACTGAGGCTATGAAATTTCTTGAAAATTTTTAACCTGTAAGTTTCTGGTTGTTTCCCCTGCTATGCTTTCTACAATGAAGCTATTCTCTTTTCTGACTAGCTTGGTAGGTGTACATAGGCTTCTTTCTCCCTTCTTCTCATTTTAAGGTCCTTTTGAAGTATATTTGTAAGACTTAAGAGGGTAGCCAGGTAGTACAGTGGATAGAGTCCTGG